TTTATTTTTTTTCCAGAAAAATTGTCAATATCATTCTTTTGTAATGCAAGAGGAGGACAACTTCAAAAATAATAATGTTTCATTATTTCACAACCATTTTAGTCAGGAAGTCATTAATCTGTTTAATCTAAATCTTTCCACCTGGGTTTGTACCTGGCAAAACTAAGAAATAAAAAGCTTCGTAAAATTAGAATTATAACATTCTTCAAAATTCATAAAAATAAAAATGTCTCATGTTCAAAAATAATATTTATTATCCTACCATATTCCCAGCTCTGTTCTAAGCCTATTGCATGTATTCATATAGTCAGTCTTCACTGACATGTTTTCACCACTAGGCATATGAAGATATTGAAAGGTAAAGTGGATTATTTAGAATCTTATAATTAGGAATTGGCGAGTAGGAGTCAGATTCCAGTACATACTCTCAAAACTGCTATGCTGTGCAGATTTCTATACCAGTACTAAGAAAGGAAGCAAAGTAACTTAATCCGCCATCTTGTAGAGCCAGGCATTGGGCCAGCTCTTTCCCACATTTTACCTTCTTAACATTAGGGCAGGTGTGTGCCAGGTGGTGGATGGCTTCAAGGCTCCTTTTGAGTCCACTTGTGTGACTATTTCTTGTCATTCAAGTTTCAGCTCAAATATACTCATCTCGAAGGAGCTTCCGGGGATATATCCAAACTTCCATATGTCTTACATTTTAGGACTTCTCAACCTACCAGAATTTTTTTTTTTTTTTACATATTTGCCTCCCTTTCTACATTGTGAGTCTCTATGGAACAGAGACTGTTTATAATTCTAGCAGCTGGTGCTTAATAAATGTGAGTTGAAGAAATTAGAAGGGAAAAAGGTCAATTAAATGTTAGTGGTGCACTATGTTAAATACCAAATTAAGATTTTTTTCCCTACTTTTTCAGATTTACCACTCTCTCCCTCCATTCTTCATCTGAAGATAGGAAATGTATATGTCTATTTTTTTTTAAATTATAACACAGCTCTTAATGAAAATGGAGTAATAAAATTTCTAAATTTCCAGTTGGTGGTGTATCCTGTTAGCTCCACCTTCCTCAAATGTAGCGATCTAGTCAATGAAATCTCCCCCCTCTTCTCAGTTACTTCTAATACTGATGGAAGGTAAAAATACAGCTACACTACTCCTTCAGCTGTCTGTTCTCCTGTGTCTTTCCACATCACACTTCGACCATCCCACTTTACAACCACACAGCTGTTTTCTTCAGCTGGGGCAGGAAGGCAGGCAGAAGAGTGAAGTCATGCATTTCTGGTACTTCAGAGCCTAGTAATGTCTTGAAAAGTCCAAGAACAGAAAAGATCATGGTGCCCCCTTCAATCATGTAGACAATTACAAATAAGGACAATTCTTAAGCCTAGTGAATTTTGGATATATTTTACAATAACCAAAAATAAAAAATCATGCTTGTTTCTAAAACACATCCTCGGTTTTACCAGGTGATCTTGGTTCACCTCTGCTCTCCTTTCCTGCTGTCTGGTTTCAGTGTCCTTGTCCTTTTGGCTCTAGCTATTCTTATGCTAGCCTTTTAAATGGCCATTCATTCCACTTTCTGTCATCACACCAATCCTACCAAAGCACCCCTCTGATGTGTGAGCCAGTGTGCAGCATATTTCTTGGCACAATTAGGTGTTTAATAAATGTATGGGAGAGTGATGTCACTCACTCCTGCAAAACTCCCTTTTTACTACTTTTACATCGCTCTGTATTCTGACTTCAATGTTCTTGTCTTATTTTCTATTGCTCCCTATTGGCTAGTTTTGCTCCTTCTAAACTAGCAGCTCTGTGTGCTATGGACACGTCCCATGCTGAGCTGTTTTACATGCATTCTCTCCTGTCTTTCTGGAGTGCTTTCTAATACTTTCTCTGTTGAATTTTGCCTTAAGTATCAAGGCACAGAGCTAACCCTTTCCTGCAGTGTTCCCTTCTTGCTGGGAAATCCAGTGACTCACCCCTCCCTCCCTTCCTCCCTCCCTCCCTTCCTTCCTTCCTTTGCAAAGATAATATATAAAGTTGCCATATACCCCCCTAAGTTTCCCTGTTGTTAACATCTTACTAATGCAACAATAAGCATGGATGTATAAATATTTCTTCAAGATCCTGCTTTCAATTCTTTGGGGTTCATACCCAGAAATAAAATGCTAGATGACATAGTAATTCTATTTTTAACTTTTCAAGGAATTCCCATACTGTTTTTCATAGTCGTTGTACCATTTTTCTTTCTACCAACATTGCATGAAAATTCCAATTTGCCTATATCCTTATGCAAACTAGCTATTGTCTGTGTGTGTGTGTGTGTGTGTGTGTGTGTGAGTTTGATAGCAGTCCTCTTAATGAACATGAGGTGGCATCTCATTGTAGCTTTGATTTGCATTTCCCTAATTATTAGTGATGTTGAATGTTTTCTATGTAGTTCTTAGCCATTTATATATATTTTTGGAGAAAGATCTGTTCAAGTCCTTTACCCCATTTTAAAATCAATTTTTTTTTATATATTGTCACGTTTTAGGGTCAGTTTACACATTCTGGATATTAATCCCCTGTCAGATATATCAATTGAAAACATTTTTTTATTCATTCTGTGGAGTGCCTTTTTATATTGCTCATAGTGTCTTTTGATAAACAATTTTTAAAACTTTCCATGAAGTCCAGTTTGTCTATTTTTTTTTCTTTTGCTACCTGTGCCTTTGGTGTCATATCTAAGAAATAAATGCCAAATTCAAATTCCTGATGCTTCTATCCTGTATTTTCTTCTAAGAGTTTTACTGTTTAGGTTTTATGTTTAGATCCTCTCTTGGTTTTCTGTTAGCTTTTATATATGGTGTTAGGTGAAGGCCAACTTCATTTTTTTTGCATTCGTAGCTTTTCTATTTCTCTATGTGTATATGTTAATGTCAGTGCCACACTCTTTTGATTGTTATTGCTTTGTAGTAAGTTTTAAAATGAGGAATCAGGAGTCCTCTACATTTGTTCTTTTCTTTCCCCCTCTTTTTCATATCTTTATTGGTGTATTATATTTGTACAGAATGGTGGGAATCATTGTTACATATTCATACATGCACCTGATATAGCAATATAATTTGGCCAATATTATTCCCCAGTTTTTCCCCTGTCCTTAACCTCCTCCCTCCCTTTCCTCTAGCCTACTGATCTCCATTTAATTTTCCTCCACCCTACTGATCTCTCTTAACCTTTCTTTTCTTTTTTCCTCTTTAGCTTCCACATATGAGAAAAAAAATACAGTCTTTGACTTTCTGAGTTTGGATTATTTCACTTAACATAATTTTCTCGAGTCCCATTTGTTTTCCTGCAAATGACGTAATTTTAATTTTCTTTATGGTTGAATAAAACATCATTGGGTATATATACCACATTTTCTTTATCCATTTATCCTTCTGATAGACACCTAGGCTACTTTCACAGTTTGGCTATTGTGAATTGTACTGCTATAAACATGGTATGCATTTGTTCTTTTTTTCTAAGGTAGTTTTGTCTCTTCAAGGTCACTTGAGAATCCCTCCAAAGTAATTTATTTAAAATTTGTGCATGTCATAGTTTTCTAGATAGAATCATGCAGTAGCCTTTTCTGAAAATCTGATTTTTCTTACAATATGAATTCAAGACTCATCCATATCTTTGCCCTTTTTGTCATTGCTCATTAGTTTTTTAACTAATAATAGTATGGAGGAGGACTTTCTATTCCAAATTTTACAACCCATACCTTCATAACCATCATCTGATACTATTTTCTCTCAGGTTGTCTGGTCACCCAGAGCTTTTTTCTGCTCTTCCTACACAGCATTCAGTTGTTTTCTTAGTGTCATGAGCGATTTAGTCCTCTCCCCTAACTTGTATATGCTGAGCAACAACACAACAGGGCTTTTATTAGCATTTCAGGTTCCACCCGTCATTTTTTAGACTTTACCTTCCACATTTTTTAGACTTTATCTTCCACAGTACTCATTGAATTGACAAATAGTCAATATGGTGTTATGTAAGAGCTAGATTGCATACAAACCAACATAACTTGAAGTTCACACTATATTCAATGCTATATTCCATCCACTTGCATGTATATTTGTTTTCTATGCTCTTATGTTTAAAAAAAATATATTTGAAGGTCACTTCTAAAAAACGACCTGAAATCTGCAATGCATTCAATTTATGAAGAACACATGGTGTTTATACAAGCATTTCCAAATAGTACTATGCTAGTGAACCTTGATAATGTATGTCAGAGGTTTTTGGCACTAGCCCAGAACATCAGCATTACTATAAACAGTTGAAATATATTGTATGAAATTTATTTTCTCATAAAGTGTTGCATGGTCAGAATCATGGAGTTGGCTAGCCAGAGTAGAATCATTATCATGCATATTATTGGTAAAAGGAGCTGATATGTTCGTATATTAAGGGATTCACTTAAAAATTCTTAATATTAGTATAAAATTTAAATACTGAGATCTAAGAAAATAAAATCACTTTCTCCCTTTAATGCTTTTGAAGTTTTAAGTCCAGTGGGCATCAACCAGTATCATGCATGTTCCTTTGATTTTTTTAAAAAAGTATAGATATGGTAATGCAAATTTTATTTTTCTTCCATAGCAATCCACATCCAAACTGATTTGAGCATATCACCCTCCCTCCCCACAACACACACACTTTTTAAACATGTAGGATTAGAAAAAGACAAAAAAGGAAAAAGTCAATATTCAGAAAACAATATTGTGTTGATTTTAATTTAACGTCTGCCCAGTTTAAATGCACACTGTACCCAATAACATTTGGAAAGTCTTGAAACCTAGTAATGTTCTCAAGAGAACCCAACATATTGAATTAAAATTTAAGAAACCCATTACACGTCAATTCTATGTAAAATGAAAATGAAAATGTGTCAGATATTCATTCCTTTAGGTGCCTTGAGAACTTTCACCTGAACTATCCTCTGATTCTTTCTTTGTCCTCTTAGGTGGCCATGTTTGTGTTACAGCTGGGCAGTGCCACATTCCTGCTTACAGAGCCTGTGATCAGTGCAATGACAACTGGGGCTGCCACCCATGTTGTGACTTCGCAAGTCAAGTATCTTTTGGGAATAAAAATGCCATATATATCTGGACCACTTGGATTCTTTTATGTGAGTTTTCCAAATGTCTGTGTTCATATATATGGACTGTGTATTTTTTTCACGAAGAAGAATTTAGTTAATTACAGTACCGAAAATTTTCTATTTTATAGTAACTCGGGTTTAAATAGAATCTTGCCGAATATTTTAAATATGATTTATTGTGTGAAAGTACTTTAATCTGTAATATTTACCAGTTCTGGAAACAATTGAATGTGATATAATTTGGGGGCTCAATGAGAAAAAATAGCTTGGACGTTTTTACATGTGTGTGTGAAGCAGATATGCTGCCAACTTCTAATGGAAGCCATCTACTGAGTTGTGGCCCAGTTTAACACCAGTGCACTGTACCACAGTCTCTCAGGATTGTGAACCCCAGAAGGGATCAAAACAGAGGCTTGCTCAAAACTAGTGACTGTAGACCCAATAGCCAACAACCAGCTGTTCAAAGCCATCTGAACCCGAGAGAACATCTGCCCAGTTTCAAGACATTTCCATAATATAACATTCTCCTTTGCTCTTGATTTCTTTTTAAAGTTGACCTAAAATCTGTGACTCCTTGCATTCAATTGGAGCTTTATAAAAAGAAAAAATGTCCTGATGATTAACTTAATAGTGAGCAACTTTCATTTTCCTTAACTTTATACGTTCCTGTAAACTTAATGACATTAATGTTTTATAACAAGAATATTGCCGTCCTTAAACTTTTTAAATCTGTATGGTTGAATAGTAGCTTGATACATGGAAGTACAATTACTTACTGATATAATTAGTGTTATTGAGGTGTTTTTTGGTGTTACCCTATTATACATGGTAACATGAGGATTCTATTTATTTGTATATTCTTTCTGTGTCACTGATTATGAGGATAAATTCCTCTTAATGGAGTTAACCGACCAAAAGGATATAATATCTTTTTTTTTTTTTGTCAAATTTCAATCTGAAAAGTTGCACAGATTATTAATTTACTCTGACTTTATTATTGTCAACTCTGGCGACTTCTATTTAAAAAAAATCTCCAGTTTTAATAAGTGAAAAAATGATGTCAACTGATTAGGTGGTTAAATAGTTAAGAATGATAGTAATTGGCAACACAGAAATGGAAACCAATTATAAAATTTTGTGACTTAGGTAATATCTGGATCAATGATTCATTCATAATAAGAAAGCTTAAAACCAAAACAAGGAAACTGGAACTGGGCCTGGAAGCAGCATAATTTCAAGCTTCAGCTCAAACAAAAACAGACCAAAGTAGCTGTAAGCTGTCAGATGACTGGCTGAGAGTTAAGACTTTCACTGGCACCATTTCTATGAGACAGAAGAAAATCAGTGAAGATTCTCTCTTGACCTATCTGGAAAAAATGTATTTGCCTGTGCATATGCATTATAGAAAATGCCTGCAGGTTATAGCTTGGTCTCTTTAGTCATATATACAGATAGTGATCTTTCTTTTCACAAATAGTGTTAAAGAAGCAGGGTAGCCTGATATGGGAATGACGTCTTTTTTTTAGCTTGTTTCTATTATGACACTGTATATGACTGTTATATGAAAATGTTTTATGTTAGTTTTTTTTTCATTTTGTTTTCCAGTGAAGTAGACTGGAAGTTATTTTACTTTGATATTATAGGTCCAATATCATATGACTTTGGGAAATCTTTTGTGTGACTTCACACTCAAACTAAATCAAATTTAAGAATAATTTTATACTCCTGACTTTAAATTCACATTGCTATTCGTATAAGTGACTGTGTTTTGTGCTGATGAAAAAAAATGCAAAAACGTTGTTCTTTATTTTCAGTTGCAGATCCCTGCACTGTTCAGCTGTTAGGAATGGGGCTTTGTTTTTCACCACTGTGTCAGTAGATGCTGGTTTTGCAATGTCAAAAATTGTGGTGAACTTTAGATTGAAAAAAAATTTTACATCATACATAATTTACACTGGGATATAAAATGAGCTCTGGTATAGTTACATTATCAGTAAATCAAAACTTTCTCCTGAACAGTTTAGGTGGTACCTGAAGGAGTAGTGCTGAACTCAGCATGTAGATAAAGGGCAGAGGACATCATAGAGGTCTTGATCATCAAGTCCAAGGCTCTAGAGAAGAGTAACACAGTTGGGGGAATTTTCACCTTTTTTATATATTGACTATGCATCTTGCTTCTGCAGTTTGACCACTATTATATCCCCTCTGAAAGCTATTCAGGCCAATGAGAGATTAAGAACATATAACTGATATTTCTTGGAGCAGAAGTTACTATCTAGACTAATACTCTTGCACAACGAGTCCATCACAAATCTTAGTAACCTCGGTAGGACAGACCTCTTTTGTCAAAAGAATTCAGGTTCTGTCAACCAAAGTGTTCATTAACTAATTCTGGTAGCAGCCATCATTCTGTCAACATAGAGAAAACATGACTTTCTACATTCTTTCTGTTGCCAGATTGGGACCTGCAGGTTGGGATTGCTTCCTTGCTACTGTGATGATTTCTACAGTGTCTTCTTTCTGGGGGAATCCTTAATTCTAGGCTATTCTAGGTTCTCTGCTTTGAATATGTCAAGTTTCCATCCATTTGGTTGCTCTGGGCTGACAGATGTGCTTTTCTTGGTGGAACATTTTTAGGGAGCAATTGAAGTCAGATATAGGAAGTTGTGTAGTCTCAGTTCTACCCTCTTAGGTGCAGATTAAGTATCTAATAGCTTGAGGGATTGACATGGCATATCTCTCCCTACATTCTACCATTTGAATCTGGAGTGTCCCCCAGGGGCCCATGTGTTAAAGGCCTGGTCACCAGTCCATGGTGCTCTAGGAGGTGGTAAAACCTTTAGCAAGTGGGTCTGAGTGGGAGGTCTTCTGGTCATTGGGGCTACATCTTCAAAGGGTATCATGGGGCCCCAGTCTTTTCATATCTCTCCTATGACCCTCCTATGTCCCTAAAGAATGGATGTGTAATTAGACCTAATAGACATTTTTTCATTTCAGCTTTTCCTGCTTCCTTTAGCCTTAGTTCTACTTTTCCCTCTGTTCTTCAAGATATTTTTTTCCCTCAATTCTTAGAAATTTGGAAACTCTCTTTAAAAAAAAATGTTTTCTTCCTAGTGACTTTGAAGAATATTTCAATACATTCTTCTTCTGTTTTGAGTAAAAATCAACTTTTTTTTCTGAGTTAAATTTTAGCTCTGATGATTTGTGTAGGGTGTATACAATCAGACTCTAACTGGTAATTTTTCTCCCTGTAAGGTGGGTACAGGAGAAAGAACTTCACAACAAGAGAAGCCCAGATTCAGATCACAGCTCAAGTCATGACCACAGCAAATGACTGAGTGTCTTTAACTTCCGTTGCCTGTTCTGTAAATTGATGATAATTACACCTGATGGTGTTCATTCTCAAAATGAAATGTCTGGAATGTTAAATGGAAGCCATTAGATTTTTACTAGCAGTGAAGGTTTGGATATAACAAATTGCAGATTTTAAATGTGTCACTTAAGCGATAAATACTAATGCTTATCCTCTACAAATGACTCTTAATTAGATAAACAAAATAAGACAACAAAAAATGAGATTATATGATCTTTGAAACTTAAATGTCAAGGTGACCTGAAAATTTATAACACTTAGAAATAGTTCTGCTCTTAATGAGGGGTGCTTATCAGAATTGAAGAAATGCTATTATTTTCATTTGCAAATATTTCCATTGATTCAGCTCAAAATTCCCTCAGCATTTATAATGTCATATAATAACACATAAACAATTATATAATATATTTAAGAATAAGCAGAAACAATAATATTATAGGGTCACAGTGTCTTGGAATCTTTGCTCACTGTTTAAATCATTCTATTTTTATTGTCCTGAAGATTCAAATATTTGACTGACAACTTGGTTGTCCACACAAATAAGAGGGAAAAGTTTAATTCTTTAGAATTAAAGGATCTAATCAAGAGATGTAAAGTATCTGTTTATTAGAAAGGATGCTTTCCCCAAGAGGCACAATAAAAGTTACAAAAATTCCTAGCTCATATTAACACATGTGGATTTCTTTGAGATGGCGCCAGTGTCTCAGCCTGCAGCAGCCTATGATAAATTTGGCAGAACTAGCCACTGGCATGGCTTTATATGAGTATCCTTCTAAGTAATTATGCACAGTTCTGTGCATTAAAACTAAGAGCAAAAGGCAAGCTTGGCAATATATTCAACTACCCTTCTTGGAAGTTTTATTTCCCTCCTTAAAAATGGGAAGTTTCAGAACTGGGAAACAACTGCATTTCCACTCACACCCCTGCCGCATAAGCAAAGAACTTTTTGAGTTTGGACTGCAAAGACTGCAAAGCAAGAATCAAGAATGTTAATAAAGTGGAATCGAAACATCAGAAGGAAATCAGAGCCTGTGAAGCAGTTTCTTTTATAGAGAATGAGATCACAATTAAATATGTACAAATGAGATTTCTATGTGCAGAACAAATCTTCTTTGAGGATATAGGCCCCGTGGGATTTCTGAGTCAATAACACACTTTGGTGCTTTATGAAATCCCATATTTTCTTTGCAGATATTGTGATGTTTCTCCTGTGACTTGCAAGGATGTGCAATCTACCTTGAAAAATGGACACAATAATTTGAAAGACAGAAAAAGAAAAGATTCATTTGAAGCTTGACTCAATCAGTGATTCAGGGGATACAAAATGGGACAGGTTTCATTTGGATGTGGAACCATTATATGGAAATTTATGGCAAAGGTTACTTTCAAATTAGAAAGGAAATATTTTTGCAACTTGACCATTTGGACTCTTTCTATCCCCCCACTCTTCCCTGAAAAAATGCATCACCACAAAACCCAATGCTCAAGTAGTTCAAATTGAACTCATTTTTCTAAACAAGGGTTGGCTGGATGCCACCTGGGCCTTGGCATGCTTGATTGTATGTTTGTGTACCCATGTTGTCTTTAGCTGTTTAATATACCATGCTTCCCCCAGACCACATTCTGGCCTGAGACCTAATTTATCCCTTGAAGC